CGAATTGAGTGGACACTATTTCTTGTCACGCATAATTTTCCGTGTGAAAGAACATTGCGAATGCCAATTGCCAATCTAATGGAAAATTGAAATAGTTTAAATGAATTTCCTCTGAATTTGGCATTGAAAATGCTTTCATCGCCAATCTGTTGCCATTCTGGGTGTCCAAAGCACCAATCAGCACTTTCGAATGAGCGGAATTTATTTATTTATACGAATTCCAGTGATAGATAGGGTTTGAAGAGAGTATTGAGGGCAGAGAGCGGGGATGTTGGAAGCCCCTTGGTATCCATTGAATCGGTAGCCCTTAAATTTGCCTCAATTTCTGATTGAATCACTTTGCCAACCCCTCGGCTAATCCGCTTAAAAGTAGGCGAACAAAAGTTGTACGTCTAGAACTTGAAACTTTCCCGCCACAAGGAGAGGACACAAAGGACCTCCTGTGGCCTCCTGGACAGTGTCCCGGCAGCCAACACTTTTACATCTTAATTATATTTTCTACACATAATTTAATTGCAGCTCTCTCTATTTTTTTTGTTGCTCTTTAAAGTGGCGAAAACTTTCACATTTTTCGTGAATTATGCAACACACAGACAGACACATGGGGGGGGGGGGGGGGCTATGTGTGGCAAGTGGGGCGTGGCAAGTGGGTTAAGTGTGTTAGCTAAAAATTCATAGCACATACACCAGACAGGGTGCCAGAGGGTGCCAGAGAGCGCCAGAGAGGGGCGAGAGGGGCGAGAGGGGCGAGAGGGGTGGCAAGGAGCGAGGGAGAGTGCACTTTTGACACACATCTACTCGTACGTACATGCATGCAAATTGCAATGCCATTAACTGTGCCTGTGTGTGGGCCCTTTGTGGGTCTGAGTGTGCGTGTGTGTATCCGTGTACAGTCAATACGTTTTGACACTAATTTGGTCAGTATTTGCATTGAGACCGACCCTCCGGAGGCCTCCTCCTCTCCGCCCCCATTGAGAATGGCATTTGCCAAAGGCCATCATCAGCCAGCCAGCCAGCCAGCCAGCCATCATCGGCATTCGGCCAGATCATCATCGTCACGATTCGGATTTCCATTTCCAATCACCTTCCACCTCCGGTCCTCTGCCTTCTGGCTCCTGGCTTCCGTCCCCTGCCTCTGCCTCTGCCTCTGCCTGTTCCTTGGGACTTGGCAGAACACAAAAGCCTTAAATTGCAGTTGGGACCAACAAACACTGACACATCAGAGAGACACAGAGGCCAGGAAATGACGCAGACGCCAGGGCGGACGCCTGACAGACAGACAGCCATGGCCAGGAGCCAGCAGTCCTGGCCAGCCCGGGGGCTAGGGAAAGGGAGAAAGTAGAGAGAGCGGAGAGCCACTTAAACTCCCAAATAAAAGCCAGACAGAAGGCAGCCAAAGAAAACAAAAAAAAAAGAATCTGAACGGAAGAAAGGGAGATAACTCTTCGGGGGACAATTTTCATTCTTTTTCTCTCCGAAGAAAGCAGATTGCCGAATCTGCTGGCCACGCACTAGCTCGTGCCCTCTCTCTCCCACACACACACACTTTTCCTCGTGCAATGTGCACATTTTTGTCGTGGGAAAAGTGGAGGCAGAGTCCTGCTCGAAGTCCTTCAGCATTCAATGGGATCTCCTCTCAAATTTGAGGGCAAAGTATTTCATGCGTTGAACGTTGCCTTGAATCGGGGGGGAGGGGTGGGTGGAGTGTGGAGTGGGGCTAAATATCTCTTCTCGCCCCATTCGAAATGTTTGCCAAATATTTTATCCATTATGCCGCTCAAGCCTCATGTGCCATGCCCCATGCCCCATGCCCCATGCATTTTGCTTTAAATACTTTGCACACCCCCATTCCCTGGCCGAAACTATGCGCATATTTTGAAAGATGTTTTGCATTAAGCAGGGGGGCAGGCGGGCAGGCGGCGCCCGGCGGATGCAGGATGCGGATCCTAAAGAGAGAACATTATTTATGACGTGGCCGTAGCGGAGGATATTAGGGCTGACGATGACGATGATGATGATGTTGGTGTTGCTGTTAATGGGGTTGCATCTGTGCGGGGCAAGGGGCTGGCGTTGTTAATGGATTGTACACACAGAGGCATGAACCCGTCTCCCTGGAGCCTCCTCCTTCTCCTCCTCCTCCTCGGGTGATGCATTTCCATCGGTGGATATTTAAGTGCATCTTGAGGGGTCTCTTTGGTCTTTGATTATCTCCTGCTCTTACGACTATTTTAATCCCCATTTTAATATCTATCGAACATGTTCGTGCGTGTTTGGTTTCCTTCTTTGTTTTACAGAGAACGTTGCCAGTGTTTGCTGGTGCTTTTTAAGCACTTAATCCATCAAACACACAAACTGCTTTCGGATTTGGTCAACACACTCCTTGCAGCTCTCACACACGCTCCTTCATTCCAGTATGACAGGGTTGCCTTTCAACGATTACGTGTGACTGGCAAATGCAAAATAAAAGTCGCTATAAATCGATATACGAAGAAAGAGGGTTTCTCCTCTTGTGGGGGAGCCCCGCCAGAAGCTAGGGTATTCCAGCCCTCGACTTGGGGGTAACCCTTCTAGCCGTCCATCGCGTGGCCAGAGTTGCCAGCTCGCTCTTCGTTTTTTCGGGGGCGACGTGCAGTCTGAAAGTTTTTCCCGTTGTCTGACGGGATTTTTATTTCGATTTCTCTTTTGGTTTCTTGGGGGGGGAGGAGAGGCGGGCAGGCAGCATTTTTATTAATGAAACACTATGTCAACAAAAAGAGAGGGAGAACAGTGGCAGACAGAGTGGCGGAGGGGAGGGGGTGGGGGAGGGGTACGATGTATAAATATTATGTAAACACGCAAACAATGAAGTGATTTGTTGCTACTTAAATTTTAGCCCCCGAGAGCGAAAGACAGAAGCGAAACAAAACGTAGCTCGGCTCTGGGGTCTGGGGTCTGAGATTGGGGCATGCCTCCAGCATTGAGATGCTGCCCAAACACACACATTGTATATATTATATAGAATGTGGAATTAGTTGCCAAAGAAAAGAAGCAAAAGCAACAGAAAGAAAGAAAAAACAAAAAAAATGAAGAAAAATTGAAAGGAAATATTTGTGCCTGTGTGTGTGCGTGTGTGTGAGTGTGTGTTCGCCGGACCAGGCGCAGTCGCTGTGAAAGTAGCAAAACATCGCCCCAGGGTCCTGCCCCTCCGCCCTGCTGCTGCAGCCAGAGCGAGAGAGAACGATGCCTGTTTCTAGCTTGTTTACCAACACTTAGAGAGCAACCGCCCACCACCCAGCGTCAGGGGGAGGGGCAATGTGTGCCCGACGCGATAAGCAAGCCACAAGATGAGCTCCACGCCACAGAAGCAAGACCCTCCCCCCTCCCACCACACTACTACACCCCCTCTCTAGCCACCCAGCCCTGCCCAGTACCTGTAATGCGGCCTAGATGGCGTTGCAAAGGCTATATGTATATGTATGCACTTCGAAAAGAAACGTCCAAGGAGGCTGCGAGGGAAATATATAAAAGAAAAGCGTTTTTACTGCACTTAATTCACTTTGGATGCTGCCTCCCCCACCACCCACCACCCACCTGTCCTGCCCTGCCTCTGAGTTTTCTCGACTTATTTTTTTTCTCCTTTTAATGCAATTTGAACAAATTAAAAAGTAGTACGTGGTGGGGCAACTGCAGCAGGTGCAGCCGACTGAGAGACACCACCACTTGGCGGCCCCCATCTGCCGTCTTTCATTCGAACTTGTACGGCTTCCCCGCCCATAACTTTCATTAAGAAGACAGAATGTTGGCCAATTAAGCGGCCTCCCACTTGTCAATGCATTTGGGGGCTTCCCGCTCCACTGAGCTGTTGGCCTTGAACCTGAAAACGGGCACGGTCTGAGGATCCCAAGAGGATTCTGCAATAGAGCTGCCCCTCGAATGGCGAAAACAACACAAGATCTACCCGTTAATAATGCTTTCTTTTCTGTGGAAGTCCGCATAAACATTCACACGTGACTGTCACTTTGCATGAGTCCTTTCGGTTATGGGAACATCTTTTTAGGGCCAATGAACGTCCTTCAATGAATGGTTCCACGTGGAACCCATGGATATAGGGGTTATACCCGCGAGTCTGTTGCAGTGTCCCTCACGTTCCACGTTCACAGCTGACTGGCAAAATTGAAAGACCCACTGAAAAGGGGCCCGGGGAAATACCGTGAATGGCAATACCACTTAAACCGGTCCTTCTCCATGGACTCCCTCTCTCTCTCTTCGTATTGCTTTTTCCATTTGGGTTAATCGTGAACTTGAAATAATGGTAATTGGCAAAGTGATTGCACAAATTGGTCTGGACATTGTCTCTGGGTCTCTCCAGTCCCGTAAGTGACCTTAATCCCTGACCTCCTTGTCGGACAGCCAGCCAGCCACCTCATTGTTAAATCATTTCAATTATGGATGAACTGAAAAGTAGCTTCTAGTGTGGGGAGGATACCATCATCATCATCATCATCGTCATCATCAAGCAGCAAAGCTCCTTACGGGCTTTAAGTCCGTTCTGTTGTTATCCAGGGCTCCTCTCCACACGAGGGGACCCCTAAAGGACAAAGAGAAAATGCTGCTGCTTTGTCCTTACAGACGGGCGGAGGGAGGTTGGGAGGGTGGGTACTGTATATCTGTGTATCTGTGGGTGCAATAATTGTGCATTGATTATCATAATATTCTCGCATCGCCATCAAAATTGCGCATCAAATCAGAGCTCCTTCGAGTGTCAGTGTTCCTGTGGCTCAATCGCAACAGTTTATCAGTCAGTCAGTCAGTCAGATACAGATACAGATACAGATACAGATACATAATACAGCCAGAGCAATGGGCAAACCAATGAAGCGTGGATCAGAGGGAGAGCGAGAGACCCTTTGGACTGCCACGTGTCGCGTCAGTTGCAGCCACACACAGCTCCCATTCTGCCACTCTGCCACGTCGTGTGCTTCCGGTTCCGTTCTCATCTCCGTCTGTCATCTCGCTCGCAGGGGATTATGTTGATGCGAAACGAACAAACAAATTGAACCAATTAAAAATCGAAATAATAATCGAAAATAAATCGAAACGAACAAATTCGCGTAAAGTGCTATCGAAAGATGAAAGAGATCTGAGGAAAGGAGGGACGGAAGGAGCTCCACCATGATTGCCACGCTCTTCATCATCTTTGCATTTATACGCGCCTTTCCCTGGAATCGTCGTCGACAGCCCCTGGCCCTGACCCTGGCCCCAGCCGAAGGATTGGACCAGCAGGAGGAGCAGCAGCAGCAGCAGCAGCAGGAGCATACCCTGGACAACAACAATCGGCCGCGTCCCTCGATCTCGATGGGAGCTGGGAGTGGAGAGGGTGTGCCCCGGGCACGACGCAAGTCCTCCAAGTTCCACGAAGTCACCTTCAGCGGCAGCGTCGGCGGAGGCGAAAGCGATGGCGATGGGGAGGCTGGCCCTGCCACGGCCACGGCCACGGATATTCAAATGCCTGGAAATGGAAGTGGAGCCCTCGCCGAAGCCGTGCAAGGGGGCAGCAAGCGGCACTCACTGAGCACCACCAGCAACTCCAGCTCGGCCCCGTACCGCCATCTGAGCACCACCGGGACCGGGACGAGCAGCAGGTCGCGGGGCTCGAGGGACTACCACGAGTACTACCAGCTGCAGCAGCAGCAGCAGCACTCGTCCTCCCTCTCCAACGGGGGACGGCGGGCGGGTCTCAGCCAGCGCAGCGACACCATGGCCACGGAGGCCGAGGCCGAGGAGTTCGAGGAGGACGAGGAGCGGCCGCCGTTGGACGACGACGAGGACGAGACGTACGATCGCGAGACCGAGGAGTTCTACAGCAACATTCAGGATGCCACCGGACCGGGTGGCAGCTGCAGCCGCAGAAAGCGCTCCTCGCTGTTCTCCCGCTCGGACAGTTCGGCCACCACCACCTCGTCGAGTGGCGGGGGCACCTTCACCGGCGCCGGGGCGGGGGCGGGGGCCGGCGGGAAGCGCCGTTCGGCTGCCTCCATCATGTCCTCGTCCGTGTCCTCGGATGTGATGACCAGCGATCGGCGCAGCTCCACCACGACGGAGAACAGCATACGCTCGGTGAACGCCGCCGGCGGAGGGCCCGGACCGAGTGGCACCCAGCAGCGGCGCTCGAGCGGTCGCATCCGACGCTACGTCTCCCGCATGACCATCGCGGGAGCCAGGCGACGGACCACCGGCAGGTAATGAAGGGGGGTGGGGGGATTGTTATGTTCTCGAAACTTTATTTATAAACAGCAACAAAATAGAAATTATAAGCGGATCGCCCTTGCTTCGATCAGGAGCCATTGTCCTGCTGCCATTGCTCGTGCTTGGCCAGCAGCTTCTGGCCCAGGGGTCGCACCTGCCCGAAGGCCTGCTCGACGCTGGCCTCCAGCGCGGCCTGCGACTCCTTGGAGGCACCGTCGGCGGGGGGAATGCCGCGCGTGGCACAGCGCACCCGCTGCATGCTGATCTCCTTGCAGGCCAGACGGATCTCGTCGCCGGTGAACTGGTCGGAGAGCCGGACGAGCCGCTCGAGCAGGCTGGCACTCAGACTGATGCTGGAGCCGAGCAGGCGGCTGATGAGGGAGCTGCGCTCGGCCTGGTTGGGCAGCTGGACGAGCAGCTTCTTCTCGAAGCGCCGCAGGAAGGCCTCGTCGATGTCCCAGGGCAGATTGGTGCTGGCCAGCACGAAGACCCCCTTGAGGGTGTGCTCCATGCCGTCGAGCAGCTGCAGGAGCTCGTTCTTGAAGCGCTTCGAGGACTCGTGATCGGTGGCCCTGTCCCGCTTCGACGTGAGACTCTCGATCTCATCGAAGAATATCACCGACGGGGCACGCCGCGCGGCCATGTGGAAGAGCACGCGGAGTATCTTCTCCGACTCGCCGCGCCACTTGCTCACCATGATGCTGGCCGTGATATTGAAGAAGGTCACCTGGCCCTGGGTCTCGGCATAGAGGGCCTTGGCCAGGAAGGTCTTGCCGCTGCCGGGGGGTCCGTGCAGCAGCAGCGAGCGCCACGGCCTCAGGCCGTGGGCAAACAGCTGCGGGTACTCGATGGGCGTCAGGACGGCCTCCTTGATCAGCTCAATGGCCCGCTGATTGCCGCACACATCGGACCACCGCAGCCGGATGTCCTCCCGCAGTATGGAGGTCTTCACCAGCTCGGCCAGCACCTGCCAGTCGAGGGAGGCGAACAGGGCGTCGTCTCCCCCCGAGTGTCCATGCTCGATGTCGCTAATGCGCAGCGGAATCTCCGTGCTGCTGCTGCACTCGGCTGTGGCCATTTTCTTGATGTGCAACTGTGGGGGATTGCCATTTCCATTCTCATTCCGCTGCTGCTGCTGCTGTTGCTGCTGCTGCGTGGCATCGTTATTCAAACTGGCAGCAGCCGCAGCTGTGGCAGCCCCCATTACGGCATGCCAATTGCCCATCGAGTGCTGCCCATCCTGTTGGAGCTTCGACTGTGGTGGCTGTGGCGCCGGATGCTGGCCCTGCTTGCCGGCTGCCGCTGTATGGCTCTGGCTCTTGGACAGCTCCACCTTGAGCTTGGGTCCCATCTTCTTGAGGATGCGCGGATACTTGCCGAACTTCATGTTGAAGAAGCTCGCGTACTCCAGATACATGGCATCCAGGTCGATGTTGTCGCACAGCTCGTACTCCTCCGACAGCCGGCCCTCCCCCTTGAGGGCCTCCGCGCTGCTGTAGTAGCCGTTCTCCACCAGATACCGATGCATCAGATAGAGAATGTTGCGTCGGCGAGTGCTGAAGTTGCGTACATCCTCGCACAGGACCGAATTGGCAGCCGTTGCCGTTACGCCGTACTTGCCGTGGGCCTTCATTTTCATCCAGATAGATTCCCCACAGATAAACAGAGCGCCAGAGAGACGAGGGCGAGAGAGAGAGTGAAAGTGGGCTGTGTTCTGAGAATTTCTGGGCTTTACTGAGATGACGGCAAATTCCCAGCCAGCATTGACTTCCAGGCATTTCAACCGTTCCGATTGTTTTCCCATTTCAAACAGAGTTGCCATAACAAGGGCTCAGGGTTGCCAGGGGCTACTGCTCTGCAGCTACTCCTCAAACAGTGCGCCTTCTCTCGGGGCAACCGCAACCAAAAACGAGCAGGCAGTCACGTTGTGAGTCGCAGCTAGGGCCGCGGCTCTGCATCCATACCCGATACGCAGTCAGTATGGCTCTCCTCCGCCAGAGGGCGCACACTGCACGAGGAAGAGGGAGTTGGGCGTTGGGTAGCAACTGCAAATGGATTTGTGCCTTCTGGCTATAGTAATCCGATCTGCTATCTGCTATGATTCTGCGTGATTTCAGTGGGAGGATACGAAATTTGTTGGCTCCAGCTCTTATAGTCTCTGTCTATAGTCTTTATGGGTTCCTTCTGGGTGCCTCCATCTAATATACCCCTAAACGCTTCGAGTACTGGGTATAAAAAGACCAGAGAGAGAGGCAGCCTGAAAATGTGGCCAATTTCGGGTGGATAAAGGTGCTCTAGTGGGCTTAGATGGTACCCCAGCTGGGGATGGTGGTGTGCGTGTGTCTGTGTGTGGCATGCCTCTGATCTGTGTGTGGCTGTGCGTCAAATTGGTGCGCTAATTAAAAATGCGAAAAGAGCATGACGAGCAACAGTCGGCAATCAACCGAAATATGGAAATGTATACACTTTTGGGTTTTTCAGAATTGCCTGCCATTTGGATGGGATTTGGATGGTCTAGGAAATTACATTTCGAATCAAATGCCTGTCCAGGACTGGCCCCCAAATTAACTGCAACCTAAGTGGCGTATCGAAAACCAATCAAGTTCCAAGTGCGACTGGATATCCCTTTTGCCACGCACACTCTCCTTTCATCCCTCAATTGGTTAGGGTACTTAATTGTTCGTTATCCCCCCACCACACCACACCACACCACACCACACCACACGACCACCAGCGTGCCACACCAGCACTGCGTCGTTGCAGGTTGAATGTTGCCAAGAGCCGTCTCGCTCTCTACATGCTCAATTTGGCGAGATGACGGCAACAGCTGCTTCGACGGTTAATCAAATGCACGGCGACGCAGACGACAACGCAATGAAATGAAAATCAGCGCGGAGCCCGTACACGCAGGCACACACACACACACTCACACACAGCCCCTTGCCACGCCCTCGTCTCAGCCATCACTCTGTCAAATTATGCAACATGCAGGGGCACAGGCAGAGGCACAGGCCCAGGCAGACTCTCTCTACCAGCAGCCATCCATCCATCCATCCATCCGTCTATCCGTCCATCCATTTCACCTTGCCTTTAAAAAACATTAAAGGTGCTTGGGATACACCATCCGCTTTCCAGCGACGGGACGGGTAATTATCCTTTTCCTCCCTTCGGACGAATGAAGGAAGACATGCTCCGAGCCACTCTTCTTACACTCAGAGAAAAAAATCACTGAAATTTGAATATTAGATAAAACATCTACAAATTTGAAACGAAAGCGGTTAAATATAAAATTAAAATAAAATAAAATATTAAATTTTTAATTTTTTTTTATTTTTTTTTTTATTTTAGTTAAATATATTTTACACATTAAATTAATTAATTAAATTAAATGAATTAAACTAAATTTGTTTATATTTATATATAAAATATTTTACACTTATAGATTAAATATATTTTTCCCATATAAATTAAAAATATAATTTTCACGTATCAATAAAATACTTTTCACATTTAAATTAAAATAAATTTATTTTTCTTACTTAAGTTAAGAATATTTATTTATTTAAATCAAACATATTTATCATACTTAATTAGGCAGAATATTTGTATCTTACTTAAATTAATATTTTTATTAATTTATTAAGTTAACCAATACATGTACAAACGTATGCCATTTTTCTCTGAGTGTAGTACCGTATTTGAAGTGATTCCCAGACTTGAGGAACACCGATGCGAGTAGTGGATTCCTGTCGGTGGAAAACGCATCGTGTGGCATCGCCAGAAAGCACCTCAACAGAAGTACGGCCATGCTGGATGAGATGCGGGACGCAGTGGGGCGTAAAGGAGGGGTGGCTGCGCCCATTTCATTTCGCCTCGCAATTTTAATTTGGTTTCTTTTTCACCCCACACCGCCCCAGTAGCCCGCCTCGTTGCAGTCTGGCAACGAGTCCCCCCTCAGGCCCCATCTTTTGATGCTGCTGCTGGTTCCCCAACCTCCATCCTCCACATCCTTCGCATCCATACAGCATCCATGCATCCTCCGTGGCAGTCAGTCTCCGGCTTTTGTTAATGGCCTTGTGACAGTTTTTGCTCTGCTTCTGTCTGTCCTTCTTCTTCTCACACTCAGAGTTGCAATCGGCTGTTGCTCTGTCCCTCTCTCTCGCCCTCTCTCTCTCTCTCTCTCTGTCTTTCTTTGGGCATCGCTACTTATTTTGGTTTTACTTTGGTTCGGTCTTTGGATTTTGGTTAGTTTTGCGACTCTTTTTTTCTTCGGAATACCATTTCCTCTCAAGGTCTCTCAACTAACGAGACATCCTGCTGTAGCAGCAGCGAGAGTAAAAGAGAAAGCGAGAAGGCCACTTACCCCAAAAACAAAGTGAATGATTTGTGAATGGCAGCATTTAAGGGTGGAGCGGTAGCAGATTCATTTAGGGATGTACATCACTGAATGCTTTGATGGATTGCGTCCTATCAATGATAGGAGCCACTAGTCGAAGATACGTCCCGCGTAACCGTTTTTGGGGGCATGCCTGACATTTTCTATTACCAACCATCGAGTCGTTATATTTTAGTTCGAAAATGGTTTAGGTTGAGGATCATCGGCTGGCCGCTCACAAGGTTCCCGACTTCTTCCTCTTCGTTCGATCCTTAAGCGTGCTTGTTCTTCGTATTATTTAGATTGTATTCCACAATTCCTAAAGGTTTCCTTAAAAAAGACGAATGTTTGGAGCCCGTTTGAAGCTCGTTTACCCGAAAACGCGTACGAAAAAGTATTTTTGACAACAAATTTTCACTCTTCTCGGTCGCAGGTGCCTTTAATGGGAATATTAGATTTTTGTTGCGTTTTACAGCACACTTTTGCGCGTTCGCTTTTGCCTATCAGCGCAACTGTTGTCATCCCTTGCAAAAGGTTAAAATATTCATTTAGTCCTTAAAACAAATTGATTTAACCAATGGCATAATTGGATAATAGAAGATTCAACTAAAAGCGAAAAAGAATCAGCTCGCTGAACTAGTTCCAGGTGTTGCAACTCGTTTGTTGAGCGTCTGAAAAACAAACGAATGCTTTCCATGAAAAGTGCTTAACACTTTTCACCCACACAATCCCACATGTTGTGGAAATATGAGGGTGACTGCGAGTGTTAGTCGCGACTCTAAAAAACTAATTAAGTTGGCGTAGGGCATTGAGCTTAGCGCACTCGCTGGTCCGCTCGCTCGCTTTCCATCTCTCCCTCTCTCGCTGTATGACAACTATGAGGGGCAACTTTGCCTTTTGTCTATGCCAAACAACAATGACACTACACACTCTTACACACGCAGACAGCACACTCATACAATCAGCATGCGTCGTTCATTTATTTGCACATATAATTAGGCGCAGGGAAGAGCTGCCGTCGGGCACACTTCCACTTCCACTTCCGTTCGCCATGCCCCACACACTTGCCCCGAAGCAGCAGAGCAACACCAATGGCATGGACTCCTCCCAGCACTCCCGATCCCCCAACAATGCCAATCTACTTCTTCTTCTGGCCTCCTACACTCCGACTTTCGCCCAAATCCGGCACTGCGGGATGGGGGAGAGACTGTTGTGGCATGTGGCGGCTGCTGGCTTAAAGCGGTAACCCGGCACGTCACAGCTTAAATGTGAGAAGTACACTCATCCGCTCTCCTCAGTGCTCTCCTGCCCCACCCTATCGCCTTGGCACACTCTTCCGCCTTCATCCGCCTGCTGTAATTGTGTTTTGGTTCGCCTGCAAGTACATATGCAACAAGAACAAAAACGGGGAACGCTGTGTGCTCGCCATTCCGACTAAGAGATACCTCTCAGTCGGGTGGGTCTGCGTTTTACTCGAACTTTGAGATGGCAGATGGCAAGCGTTGGAAGAACTTTTGACTAAGTATCAATAGAAGGACAGTACAAGATCAGTAGCAGATCTTCATGCTTGGGGCGACTCGTTACTCTTTTCTCGCTGGATAGATACTGGACTTGCGAAGCTTTCTCGCTATGACATGGCGAACCTGCTCGCTGCTCGCTACTCTCCCAAAAGAGCCACAAGAGAGGAGACAAGACACAGTCTTCTGGAGCAGGAGAGTTAATGCACTGAGAACATTCTCGTTGTCAGCTCGTGCACAGGGCCTGATCAACTGAGATCAATCTTAAGATTCGACATGTCCATGCCAGTGTTGAGGGCTGTCTGCTCTTCGCGTGATGCAGCGAATGAATACACCCGTCCTGGGGCACTGCACGATTAGTGGGGTATAATAAGCCGCCTTGATGAGGACCAGGCCACAGTAAAGTGTAGGTATGTATCTATAAGATACTCGTGGGTCGTACACGAGCTACGAGTAGATGTGTGTGTGTGTGTGTGTGTGTGCTTGTGAGGTGATAGCTCAAAGTTGAGTGGCATTTGCCGCACCTCCTGCACTCCTGTTGAACCTCAACCACAACCCAAGAAGCAAGAGCAGTGGCACTCGCCCCAAGGATGTGTGGCACGGGGGCTGCTTAAAATTCAATTGAATTCCGTGTTGCTTTCATGCTGCTTTAAGTGCCTTGCCACACAGCCAAAAACACTTGCTGCCAAAGCACTTTGCTGCAACTTCGCGAATTGTGTGTTGCACTGGACAGGCGATTCATGTTGCAAGTGGCAACTTGCTCTTGCTCGAGCTCGAGCTCTTGGTCGCTGTCCTGTCCCGTGCTGTCTCTCGCAATTTCTCTCGCAGGATTATTGTCTTGCTAGCTTTTGTTCCTGTCTTCCTTTTGCCCCTTTTTTTTCGTTGTTTGTTTGTTTGTTTGAGCTTCTCGCTTTTCGCTTATTTCTTTCGCTTTGTCTTTTTGTTCCGCTGCTGCTGACAGGATGCCGAGGACACTTTATGAGTGTTGAGTATTCTGTTGTTGTAGTTGTTGTTGTTGTGAGTGCGTTAACACAACGGACGGACGGGTGGCTGGGTAGAGGGGGGAGGGGGCTGTCAGGATAAGCAGAGAGGCGCCAAGTATTTGGCGGACATTGCAAATGAATCAACGAGTGACTGAAAAAGTATCTGAATAATGAGTCTGTGATCGAATCGAATGCATGAATAATGATTCAAACACAAAAAAAAACCAATTCGAGGCTGAAGTTGCAGGTATCTCATGGAATGGAATGTAAATTCACCAATTTCCCAGCTGGAGGGGGCAGAAACTACAACGAATGCAACAATGTGTGTGTTTTGTGGCATGTGGCATGTGGCATTCTGTTGCGCACTCTCTAAATGGAAGGAAAATATCAGCTGCTGCACAGAGTGGGGCACGGAGTGTGGCAGAGTGTCCGTTACACCATTAAAAATACAACAACAACAAGAAAAACTGAAACTGAAAAGCAGCCAAAAACTGCAACTGGAAACCGAAAACTGAAAACTGAAACCGAAACTAAAAACTGTTTTGTTGCTGTTGCCACAAAGTATGCCATGGAAACTGGCGACATTGTTGATCAACCCCACCTTCCATGCCCCATGCCCCATGCCCCATGGCCCCCCTCCCCCTCCGCACAAAGAAAGCAACAGCAACAAGCGGCAACAACTTTGTGCCAAGTTTACTTAATGACCCCGATATAAATTTTACTTAAAACATCATTTTTCTTTACGACTTACCGACCCTGTGCCAAAAGGCCTTTCAAGGCGAGTGAAGGGCGGGCGGTAGGGTAGGCGGGGTGCTGTGGCAGGATATGCGACCAGCTGTGCTGCAAGAAAGTTGCGGCAAGTGCCTCGCCAGTCTTTTGGGGCCAAAAACATTTCTATTTCTATTTATTATTATGAAACAAAACTTGAAAAGCAAAACCAAACCAAAAAGAAAAAGAAAAGCAGACGAAAGTCAATGAACCGCAAGGCAAAACGGGACATCTTTCGGGATATCTATTTCTATTTAAATCAATCTATGGCTTCCACCATTGCCTTGGTATTGAGAGCGATGTGGCATGTTTTTGGATCCCAAAAGTATGCACTCGAGAGCCAAACGACAGATGCAGTCCTTCACAACTCGATGGGTAAAGATTAGAGAACCAAATCCCGAATCGTGGATGGCCGCTCGCCTATGGGCAATTTGTACTGCGCCCTAGTGGCTGGAAAGCTCTTCAGTTCGTGTCGTGTTACGCCTGGCGAGACGCCGCCGAGCGGCAAATTGAAGTCCATGTATCGACGCGCCGCCCAATGATGAGCTGGCATTCTGCTGATGGAAGTTTTTCACTAACTCTTGCGATAAAAGGACTCCACTCCACTCCGCTCTGCTCCCTGGAATCGAGTGAACTTTTCTTTCACATTTTTGCAGACTTTTGCGGAGGGAACGAGACTGACTTTTGCTTTCGTTTGCACTCTGGCGTCGTTACAACAATTTGTGCCAGAAAGAAAAACTTTTTGCCGCAGACAACGAACCGAAAAAAGGAAGAGCAACAGCAGAAGGCAGCAAGAAAAAGATGTCTAACGAAATGAAACTTTAAAAGCGCCTTGTTAGGCGCGCTTCCGTTTCCTGAGCAGCCCCAACATTTCATCATTACCGCAACGACAGACCATCCCACCCGCCCCTGGACCCAGGTCCTCCCTATGCCCTATACAACACGATTATATGTACATATATCTCTGTACTAATTCCATATTTTGCTTTGCTTTTCTTTATTTCATTTACAGTTTCGATGTAGAAAATGGCCAGGGCGCTCGATCACCGCTTGAGGGCGGTTCACCCAGCGCTGGTTTGGTTCTACAGAATTTACCACAACGTCGCGAATCATTTCTATACCGCTCCGACTCCGACTTTGAGATGTCACCCAAGTCCATGTCCAGAAATTCAAGCATCGCTAGCGAAAGGTAAGTCCCACCGCACCAACAAATAGAAGCCACAATTTCGTATTGATTGTTTTTGATTTGAGCTCGAATTCGGGTTCCCTCTGCCCTTTCCGCCGTAATAGCATCTTTCTCATGGACATGCTCACATTTAATTAGCCCCGAGTCCCTGTCGCATCGCAGATTCCATTGATGTTGGATGTTGCCCATTTTCTACACCTTTTCCGTGTTGGATCCACGCCTTCCTTCAGTCAGAAATTGCTTTATTTTATTTGCCTTGATTTGCCAAAGGACACTTGTGGTGTGTCTTAGCCAACACTGTTGCTCAAGAGTGTTGATTAGTTTTACTTTTTTCTACCTCTTCTTTGTCTTATATTTTTTTATTTGCTCTTTCCCCGCATTAATATTTTTCCATCTCTGACGACACTTTTCGGTGTTGCTTTTTCAATGTGTTTGCCAACACTGTTCCTTGTGCTTAACTGTGTGTGTTTCCCCACAAATAGGTCTATGATTTCTACACTTAATGTTTTTTTTTTTCCTTTTTCCTATATACTGGCTATACATTTCTTTAAGGACAGGGAATTCGAACCGTTCATGGGCATGGGTTTTTCTTTCTACTCGTAAACACTCCTGCCCCGGCAATCCCCATCCTTTCAGTGCTTTTTCCTGGCCACAATCTGTGGGATTTTTTGCTGGGAAATTTGCTGGAAGGCTTAACTGTTTCTCTCTGTGTTGTTCTAACGCCTTTCTGTACGCCATCCTCTGGCATTGTGGGCTTAAACTTCACAAAATACCAGGAAAAATCTGTGCATTTTTCGGCTCCATTCTCTGCCTCTGCATAGAGCCCACAGCCTCCTCAACTTCTTCAATTAGTTAGTCACATGCCACATGCCACATCCATTTCCATCTCTCCCTCGCCCTCTCTCTCTCTGCCCATGCATGACCGGGCAGCCACACTCAAAGCGCGGCATGCAACACTGAGGCCAGAGGCCGGAAATGCAATTTTTGTTTTTGTTCCTTTCTTCTGGCACTTTTTGTTGTTGTTGTGCTGTTGTGCCGTGTGTGTGTGTTTTTGTATTGTATTTTGGCAAGCCTCTCGGATTCAGTGTTCTCTCTGACGATGGTGCATATCGTCGTTTGATGCGTTTTGGCAGCGTTTGAGTGCACTTCGGGGCCGTTGCACACACTCATTATGCGCCCCCAAAAACAACAATAACACGTAATTAAAACACAGCACAAGAGGACACAGGACAGAGGTCTTAGCCCTGATACCCTTACAGATGGAATCGACTCTTGGATTAAGTCCACCAAAAGGCATCCACCACTGCATACATCATGAATATAAGTACCCTCTAAAGTCGGAGATGCATGGCAGGCATCTGTTTCCGATCACAATACCTTCTGCAAGGGTATAACGATGCCGATGATGATGATCATTCCCATTCAAAAGATGGAATACACATCGAATGAGGTTGAACGAGTGGGAGGTGGAAGGTGGACGGTGGGCGGTGGCGGGCTGGCTGTTGGTGAATGCAAAATGCAAAATATTTACATTTGTAGAGCTATTTTTACAGCGCCAAAAGTGAGCTCCTTCCTGCAGCTACTGCTCTGCGTCTGGCCACCAGCACAGAGAAATCTATACGGCAAATTATATATAGACGATATTTGTAGATGCATATGTGGCCCAAGCACTTAAGAGCTTCACCAGCAACAACGAAAAATGCCCACACAACAAAGTAAATAAAATACAGGAAAAATGGTCCAAAAATAACATTCAAATACTTTTTATAGACCTGCAATGGCAATTATTGGAGGGGAATGAAAGAACCCTAGAGGGGAACCAAAGCGTAGAACCCTAGAGAATGAACATGCCGAATGCCAGGAACATTCGAAGAGAATTGATTGCTCAAGATACCTCCTCTAAGGATTAACAGCAACAAGAGTACATTACAAAATCATGCACACGCAATGCATGTTGTTTCTGGTCTCTGGATCGTTGATACGCTATACAAATGTACCATAAGCGAACGGCCACCATCCACGAGTGAACGTCGGACGGGCCGGGCATTCTCCTTTGCCGAGCATCCCGGTCTAAATGTAGATCCTTCACGGGCAAGACGCCTGCCTTGTTAATAATAACCATGATCGCATTGAGCAGCCACTAAAACGTATTTAGTTTGCCCCCAAAATTAAGTGGCATATCATGGCAGACGCGACATCGCCCTCTCTCCCTCTCCCTCTCTCTCGCTCTCTGAGGAGAAATGACTTAATTTTAGTTGAAATATAAATATTTTTGGACTTGGACTTTCTTTTATTTTCTTTGCTTTCGTACATACCGCTACGGCCCCCCCAGTTGTGTGTCTCTCGTGGGCGCTCCCTTTACGGTCAAATGTTTTTGGCAGGCGACAGCAACGCAATTTGCATCCTCCCGGACTTCCCCCCTCTACCACCGTCCCCTCCCGTTTCAAAGCCAAAAAGTTTTGTCTGCCTTCAAAGTTTTTGGGCCTGCCAAAAACCTTACCGTCCCGTCCCTGTCCCCCGTCGCTCCTTGTGGCTCTCCCTTTTTCCCACCAGAGGGAAATCTTTACCTTTCAGCGCACGCTGCGTTTGCTTTCAATCAAGTTGGAATACTTCTGAATTCCTCCACCAACCCGCACAACCACCCCACCCCACCCCACCCCACGATATACATATATACATGTACTCTTAGTCTTACGTAGCACAGCCCATCCAAACTGTCGGGGCCTCAGGTCTGCCACTTTCAAACAATGTTCTTGATGAGCTGTCAATTACACACACACACACACACAGAGGGAGTGAGAGAGGAGATGAGGAAAGAGGGAGGGATAGATTTTTGGGGTGCCACAGAGCTGAGAACCGATAAATTTGATGGACGACCCAAGTTTTTGTCCGGTGGGGGAGTGGAAATGCGAATCATAAAGATTTCAACACTAATAACAAATAATTAGCCAAATGTCTGAGCCAGAGAGTGTGGAGAGGGGGGAGGCGGAGAGAGGGTGAGAGATCTCCCCATTTGGTTTCTGTGTAAATGTCAAGGTCGCAGCGCAACCAACGACTGAACTGAACAGCAAAACAACTCACGAATTAGTCATAATATTTTGTTGTTCGGGATGTTCCTTCTCATAATTTTCAGACAGCAGCAGCCCCTCCCCACCCACACCCCCATCCCCCCCGTCGATGCTCGAAAATTATTATAATAGATGCAGCAGTTAAGTGGAAATGCTGCTGTTGCTGCTTCTCGGAAAAACAAAGGCCTCCGGTTCTGCGAATGTCTTTCAATCGAATGGGAAATTTCGAAATTAAAGCATGGTCTGTTCCTCCTCTGGCATTCATTCGTTCTGTCAGCAGGTGTATCTCGATAAAGTTTGTCGCTTGCCACATATGCAAACTTCCTTTGAATTGCATACAATTTGTTTTTGCAACTGTTGCAACCTTGTTTCGCCATTAACTGAGTAGCAGCAGCAGATATTGACGAAGAGGAAGCCTGGTAATCGGAGTTGGTCTTGCGGGGGGACTGGTGGCTGGGGGGGGGGGGGGGGGGGGTGGACGAAGGAAGGACAGCTTTTAATTGAGTTGCCAAGGCCTTCGGGCTTCAGGCCTCGGGTGTTTTTGGGTTCACTTGATTGAGGGTTTGGCCTGGACAGGCGCTGGAATGGGCTGGGATTAGTCCTGGCTGATTGTCTTTCGGGGTGATTCGGAGGTTAAGTGAGGTGACGCAAAGATTAACCCGGGCCGTGTGGATTCCATCGAGTTGCGATCAAGTGAGGTGACTTTCTTGGGGTTTTGGTTAGTTAAAGGCGTCTGCTGGGATGCTTTTCCAAAAGTACTATAGGTAAAGGTATTTCAGGGGGAAAATACATATCTTTACTGCCTTGGACAGCCGAGTCGGTCCCCAGAATCCAGCAACAATGCAAACAGTCTCTGCCGAGGCCCAGAAAGGACTTAATTTTCGGTATTTTTATGGGCTTTTGAGGTACAGATTGATGGCAAGGATTAGTTCGGTTTTGGTTCTATTCGCAGAAGATTCTCGGTTTGTTGGAACTCCACGTTCCCACGTGACTGGCAATTGTAAAAGCAGTAACACATTCCTCCCCACATCCTCAAATGTTTGTCCTTTCAGCGTCTCCGAATCGCAGTGTCCGTTCGCTTATGGGCACTTTGTGCATCAAACGCTTAAGAATAAGCAAATAAGAGAAGGAAAAACCAACGCCGGGATGGGTTTCTATGAAGTCCTAAAGTCTGAGATGTCGGAGAGTGGTGTTGCGTGATAATAGTGTTGGGCAAGGTCAGGCTAAGGTCAATGTCAGATTAGCGCCTAAGCGGCGTCCGATGCAATCGTATTCAAGACTGAGCTTGTGCTTGCGGTGGGGTGGGGTTCTGTTCGGTTTTGGGGCACACCTCCGCCCCTTGCGTCATATGACATTTGCGCAGAGTTTTGGGGGGGTTCTGGGGGATTGGCCATGTGCTTAAATGTCAACACTTCAACTTCGACTTTTTGTGCAGTTTTGCGAACCGCTGCGAACCCCATACTGTTTGTTGTGTGACGTACGCAATGACGTCATGGCTGTGTGGCAGTGGCAACAGTGTCGCAATGATCTGTGTGGCGGGGCGTGACGGGGGCAGTGGCAGCGGGGTCATTGCCTGCGTCAGCGACAGGCGCTTGGGAGGTCACATCATCATCATCATCATCATCATCATCATCCTTCTCCGCTGGCGCTGCCTTCTGGGACTTAACTTTGTGGCACGTGACGCATCAATTAGGCTCTCTCCCTCTCTCTCTCTTTGGGGCGCTCAAGCGGGATAAACACTGAGAGAAAAAACACACAGAGCTTGTACACTTTTGAGTTGCTTTCATTTGCTGTATAAAATATGCGTTTAAAGAGGATATATATTTCGCTTTTCGATTTGATTGCTCTGTTCCTTTGGCCTTTTGTTTTGTTGTATGTTTGTTTGTTGTCGCCCACCCCCAAACCCCACCCAATCGCCCCCCTAGATATGTACTACTAC